AACATCTCGAGTATCACGGCCCACATGGCGCTCCCCTCAATGGTCGACTACTGCGCCTCAAAGTCGGCGTCCGTGACCTTCCACGAGGGCCTCAACTCCGAGCTCAAGACGAAGTACAAGGCTGACGGCATCATCACGACCATTGTCCAGCCCAGCTGGGTGAGGACGAATATGTCTCCCAAGAACGCGGACGAGATTGAGGAGAAGCAAGGGAGGATGCTGTTGCCCAAGGAAGTTGCGGATCGCGCTCTGGCGCAGGTGTTTTCTTGTCGGGGTGCTCAGATTGTCTTACCGGAGAAGGTGTGGTTCTTTACTACGTTGCAGGCGTGGCCTAACTGGATGCAAGAGTGGATAAGAGACAGTATGGGCAAAGCTAGTCTGCTGTGAATTGCCAGGACATCGTTTGGTTGGCACGGACGCTATGAGTTGACACCCTTTCTCGATTGCTTGAGGTCATGTATTCAAGGTTTTGCCAGGGGCGAAAAGAAGCAGGTTCTCTATGGGACAAATCTTATTCTTTGCTTCTGTGTTTAGTTCTAATAAGATACTGCTGGCTTTCAATATGTTTTTCATGCTTTCTTCAGGCCCCCGGCCCTGAACACCGGACATTAGGCATAGCTAGCAACAGGTTGTCCCAGAACCTCCAATCTAGGCGTGATCCCAAGACCGGGTGCTGTCGGAGCTCTCACACGGCCATCGTGGGCTTCAAAGTCTCCATCCGCCGTCTTCACAGTAACCATCTCCGTCGACCCCAAGATGCATCGCAAGTTGCGCTCCGGTACGGTTTGCGCCAGATGCACGATGGCAGCAAAGGAGATGTCTGAGCCGGTCGTATCCTGTATGATCATGGTGTAACCAGCAGCAACGCAGATGTCCCGTTGGCGGCGTCCTCGGGTGAGCCCTCCATTCTTGGACACCTTGAAGTTAATGCCCTCCGCAGCGTCATCTGCGATTAGTTGAATGACTGATGTTTCATCGGTCCCCAACTCATCGATGATGATGGGTATGTTGGTCCGCCGCCTGAGGGCGAGAGACTCCCGCATCGTAGCGCACGGCGCTTCTAGGACGAAGTCTAGACCGTCTGGTAGTAGCCTGATCATCCGAAGAGCAACCTCAACGGTCAGCCCACCATTCGCATCGACCAGGAAGAATTCACCAGGCTGTTTATCCGCCAGTGAAGCGGCAATGCATGCGGCATCGGTGGCCGGGTCGTCCCCCGATATCTTAACGGAATGCCCCAGATAACCCTTCTTCCTGAACTCATTGACCCTGGCTCGCATCTCTTCCGGAGCTAAGACACCGATCGACGATATGAGAGGCAAGCCGACGTTTGTACTACCTCCCAGGAGCTCACACACAGGAAGACCGACCGACTTGCCGAAGATATCCCAGCATGCCACATCAATCGGCGTTTTGGCGTGTAGGTGACCCACGAGTGCGTCGTCCATGGCGTCGTTGATGCGGTCGACCTTGCGCGGGTCCATACCAATTAGCTTGGGTGCGATCTCCGCGATGCCGGCCCTGACGCCGAGGGCGTGGGCGGCGACGTAGGTTGAGCCGAAGGGTGTGCTCTCACCCCAGCCTTCGAGGCCGGTGTTTGTGGTTACACGGACGATGGTTGCGTCGAAGCTTGGGTATTCGCGACCTCGTGATAGGTGGTAGACACCTCCTGAGTAGGGGAGAGTAACTTGAAAGACGTCAATCTTTGAGATTTTGAGGTCAGACATGGTGGATGGGGAGTGAAATGGGCTTCGAAACCGTAAATCAGTGTATTGTCAATGGTCAAGCTTTTCGATATTTAGGAGTTGGCCTCTTAGTACTTGAAGCCCTGAACATTATATAATTTGACGACTTATGAATCTTTGGGCCCTTATCAACACATTGTAACATCCCGACTTCAGGTCTGTCTCGATCCTCATGAGAACATATCGGCTTGCATAAGCCCAGAGCATCGTTCGTGCTAAATGGCGGGTGGCGTGCTCTCATTTTCATTTCCCCAACGGGCGCCTACGAGCCAGGAGATGCAGGCATCGATCGGTCCACCTAAGCAGGTGTCTTGCATGGAGATAAGCGTCTGGTCTTGAGGTCGCATCAAGACTCGGCCGATTTTGGCAAAGTCAATGAGAGCCAGAAAGAAACCAAAACCTTTTTCCAGTCAGAAAGGCTCCAATGCATGCAGTAAAGGAGCATTTTAGGTCTCGCCGCTGTGCTCCAAAGGCCGCCACAAACAGGATCCCGGGTTATTGATTCATCAGTGACGATATTTCTAAGCCGTTGGTTAATCCCTGAGAGGGAACACCAGCCATTTTCTGGAGGCAGCCATGTATGTTGATCAAAGAAGCCAGTCATCGCCTTGGGCGCTTCCCACCTGCCAAGCCTTTGATGACAATTCTTGTCGATCTACGCCCTTCATCATCCTTATTATGTCGTGTGGTGGATACTAGCGACGACTCTTAGTTAAATCCCTTATCAAAAATATGACTCCAACGTCATTCACGAAGACGAAGACACATGGCGATGCCCAGTAACTTTTACTGGTACCATTGAGTATTACCCGATCAGGAAACGATACCTAACCCGGCATCCCGATCGGCGCCAGTCCTTCGGGAGGTACCCCGCATCTCACTACTAAGCGTGCGGACAAGGCCGACGTCACCCACTCCCGATCCCTGTTGTTGCATTTCATGTAAGTCTGTCAAGTCCGTGAAGGGCGCGTCTACCTTCTCTATACGCCGGAGACGTATAAAAGTAAGAAAACCATTTCCCTTCATGATACCTCGCCTCATGATCGTTTTTTTCTTCAACATCCCCCATCTAGGTACCCGACTTTTTCTTCACATCGGCTCAATCTCCCGATCCCTGTCAACACCAAAGATTCCAATAGCCTACCGCAACCCACCTTAACCATGGCCGAAAACCTCCCAACTCACCGTCGTGCATGGCGCCGCACCGACGACTACACACCAGGCACCCCCAAAGTAACCCTTGTCACAGAACCCCTCCCCCTCCCGCTCGCTCCAACACAAGTCCTCATAAAAGTCCATGCAGTCGCCTTGAACTACCGCGACGCCAACATCGCCAACGGCGGAAACCCATGGCCTGTCATCCCGCATGGCATCCTTGGCAATGACGCAGCGGGCGAGATCATCGCGGCTGGTGACAAGGTCAAGAACCTCCGCGTCGGCGACCGCGTGAGCCCCGTTACCGACACCGAGTTCGTCACGGGCCGCGAGACGGGGCGATCATGGCTTGCTGCTAATGAGGACGGTGTGCTGGCGGATTACCTTGTGTTTGAGGATCATCTCATTGCTAAGGTCCCGGAGCACCTGGACTGGGTGAATTGTGCGATTTTGCCGTGTGCAGGGGCGACCGCATGGTCTGCGATTAAGGGGCTTACAATTGGGCAAAGCGTCTTTATCCAAGGTAAGTTGAGGTGATTCCTAATCGATCATCAACATCTTGAGCTCACCCATGATAGGAACTGGCGGGGTCGCCATGTTTGCTCTCAAACTTGCCCAGGCCGCGGGTCTAAAAGTCATTCTAAGCTCGTCTAGCAACGACAAGATAAAGAAGATCCAGGAGTCTTTCCCGTCTGCACCCATTTATGGCGTCAATTACAAGACGCATACGAACTGGGAAGAGGAAGTCCTCAAGCTCACGGGCGGAGTTGGAGTTGACTTGACAGTCGACAACGGAGGCTCCACCTCGCTCGTCAAGAGCGTTCTGTGCACTCGTCGTGGCGGTATTGTCAGCCAGGTTGGATACCTGGGAGGACAAGACCCTTCTCAATTGAAGGACTTTGTTTCAACCATCATTGATCGTCGGACCATTGTCAGGTGAGTCTCCTACGATACAGAGGAGTCTAGCTAAACCACATTGCGGATGTGTGCTGACATCTTTGATAGAGGCATCAATGCGGGATCGAGACTTGACATGGAGGACATGGCTGCTGCTATATCAGCAACAGGTCTCAAGTTCGACGACATCATCGACAATGTGTACGACTTTGAGCAGGCTGAGGAAGCTCTTCAGTACATCTGGGAAGGCAAGCAGGTTGGGAAATTGGTGTTGAGGATATAATTCTGGAGGTGACTGTAGGAATACCAATGTTACTTTGAAATGATGCTGCCCTGGCCACTCGCCACGACATTGCCGCAAGCCCTTCCCCAGAATTGTCGAGTTCTTCCTCCAAGTGGAAGAGGGAAGGCAAAATCTTGACGCAGCTCATCAACCTTATGGTAATGCGTCATCAAGGTGTTATGAACCGGGCTGTTATATGTATCAACTTCTGGCACGGCCTTTCCCTTTTTTTTCTTTTTCTTTTATTACCCCTTTCAATAGAGACCTTTTCTCTTGGTCGGTTAGGGCTTCCGTCTGCTCCTTCCTATGATGTTTGCCCTGAAGCTCTCGAGCGGGCGGTGGTCGCCATGCTTTGCCTCCTTTTCAGCAGGAAAGAAATGCTTTCGAGGCCCACATGCCCTTGCCTGCTTCTCTCAAATCAATCTCTTCGCTACCCTGTCGAGTTTCCCGTTGAGAAGTACTGAGGCTGGGACGTTCCTGGTCCCACGATTCCCCACTTTGCGACAATCTTCCGATCTTCCCCATGACCCGAGGTCAGACCAGGCGACACAACACTTTGGAAAAATTGAATAGGTTACTGGAGGGTATAAATGTATGAGGGTCCATTGCAGCTGTGCGACGCTTTCCGAATTCGGAACAAGTTGAAAAATGGATCAATCCTCATCCCCAACGATTCAAAGAAATTGTCTCAAGTCGGGACTTGAGCCCAGAAATCGCCGTGGACTAGAACATACCCGTACAGCCCTTTTTCAAGCGTAAAAGCCGCAGAAACAGGAAACGTCCAGCTGTTCTCTTCTCATTTGGAACTACGGTCCGTCGAGGATTTCAATCACTTTTGCTGAGGTACGTGTGAGTGGAAGAAGCACACCAACGATGTCACAATGCCAATTCAATGAAATCGAACAATAGGCGCTATCAACATGAGCTCCGCTTCAGGAAATCAGCACGCCACCTATCACCTGGCACCCGACTTTTCCATATCTCCCCCGCCAGATGGAACGCTGGATCTCGGATCTATTATCGACGATCTTATCGATCCGGATCCCCTCAATCAGAACCCACCGATAGCGCCTGCCAAGGTGTTCAAGGATGAGAAAAAGGGATTCCAGGCTAGTCGTTCAAGTATGAAAAGGGGGGAATTTGGCATCTGGGCCAAGGTGGTTGGTATCGAGGGACTTGGAGGAGAGGCTGCTGGGAGCCTTGAGACCACGTCGGAAACCACCTACCGATTCAAAAGCATCGAAACCACCTACTTCTCCGCGAACGAAGAATACATCTGTCAAGCCCTAAAAGAAGAAGCTGTACAGCAGTACTTGAATTCTTCTAAAAGCAAGATCGTGTACACTGTGACGGGACTAAATATCGCCAGAGGTCCTGCAGCTAGCGTCAGTAGTAGCAAACGAGGAGAGGTTCACGGGGAGGGTTCTTTCAGTCAACCAGAGGTACTGCCTGTAGACCTTTGGGGCGAAGTTAGGCGTATCAAAGGAGAACACTGCTTCGATGGAGTTCGAGGTCTCTAGCGACTTCGTGACTGGTATTCGGGTGAAACGATTGAGGTATAAGAGGTCGGGGAGGATGTTCGGGGCTCGAAAACTGTCTATCAGCAAATATCACAGTGGAGCCACGCTCGTGGGCATCGGGGAGGAGACGAAAGAAAAGACTTTCCACGTCGAAGAGATGGACGAAGACATGGAAGGAATGCATCGTTTGGTGGACGACGTTGAAATTGACCCTCTCTCAGAGGTCGCAATTCCAACTACGTTTTGGTTGCTTTCGCAGACACGCATTCCAGGCGGAGAGTTGTGATGTCTTGAGACAAGACAACCGCACTGTGGTTTATTGTCAATTGATCCTTGCGCAAATGGCAACTTATCACGAAGCTTAAATACCAACCAGTACGTAGAAGATGACAAAGGGTTTCCTATGGAGGACTGTGACGTGTCACTAAATTGTTGTAACGTTGAAGTGCGGTAATCGACATGATATAATTATGATTATGCTATTTTTATCTGGTACTGAACAAAGTCAGAGGTCGATTTCTTGCTAGCTCAAAAGTGCATTGCAGCGTTTCAAGTGCTGTGATCGTCTCCTATTGGACAACATGGTCCTCAGAAACGATGGTTAACCAGTCCCTCTTGTCGCTATATAATTGCCGCTGCAATAGTCTCGAGTAGTCAGTCTTCGCTGGATTTAGCCTTCGATCCTGTATGCGGCCCTGAAGCTAGGCGAAGCCCCGATGCGATTATTAACGCCAGAGATGACATGGGGTGGACACCGTTGCTTTACGCCACCTTTTCAGAAAGTGGTGAAACTATGAAGGTTCTTCTTGAAATGGACGGGATCGACAGAGACGCGGTGGACATACGCGGGCGGACGTTACTCTCTCATCTTGCCGAGGGACGATTTTACTACGGCTTCTTGGGTGGCTACAACCCCTCCTTCAAACAATTGGAACTCGCCAAGAGAATGAAAACATTTTACAAAGAGGGTAAAGTGGACGTCAATTCACGAGATGATAGCGGATGAACACCGTTGTCATACGCCGCGGAAAGGGGTCACCGTGAAGTGATGGGTTTTCTGATCGTCAATTGCAATGCGGATTTGACCGTGGCAGACAAGATGGGCAACACACCCCTTTTCTACGGTGCTCAGTTTTACAAGAAACATTCCGGATCGCGTTTCTTATCAGCAGTTAATGACGATGACCCATACTTTAGGGGCTACTCCATACCCCTGGTCACTCGCTGCAGCGCAAGGTAATGTGAGAAGTATGCAACTTCGCCTAGAGGTCGAATGTGGCTTTGAAAAGGGATCACGGTATCAGATTTGGAGGGAGTTACTTTTCTACGCGGTCTTGGAAGATCGAGTACGGGTATGTAGGATTCTGCTCGAAGGGGCAGCAGAATTTTCTCCACATTCTCAGACATTCTTGCGGACATGTCTTTCGAATGCTGGGGAGATGCATGGTCGTACGAGTGTTGTTAGCGAGATTATTTCAAAGAAGCTGAAGTCGATGGAATACAAGGGGTTATGGAATGCGTTCAAAAAGATGTTATCGTAATGTTAGGACAGCGTGCGTCACGTGCTTAGATCAAAATCACCAAGGTCGTCTCCTACAAATCAGATTCTGAACAGAGTGAATGTGTATAGGTTACTCAACCTCTAGACTAGCGATAATCACTTAAACAGAAGCGTCATTGCCAGATAGTGTAAATAAATGCCATGTTTACTAAGGAAAGTCTGCACAAATTCTAAATCTCACACCATAAACCACAAATTCCAAGATCAGAACATTTGAAGAAAAGAATATGACATCAAAACTCCCAATCCCAATGATTCCAATCTCTCCCATCTTTCCCATCTCAACTCTCGTCCCGTGACCGCAAATTTCCAGGCGGTTATACCATTCCCCAGACACTCATAACAACATAAAATAAACAAACAAGGAAAAGAGATACAAAGTAATGAAAAGGAGACCCAGAATTGTGGTCTGGTCGCCCTTGTGTCCCGTTGTACCAGCCCGTACCACACCTTATCCATTTCCGCAGATACGCCATCTCCCATCTGGTCCCACATCATCTTGTTTCCCGTGTGATATAATAGATAATTATATTTCCCTCTCGTCGTCGTCGTCCTTTGTCCCCGCACCGTCGAACAATCTAAGTAAGATATAAGGAAATAGCTTTCATCATCTTCATGCAGTACTGTGACCGTTTCGTTTGTGTGTTGTAGATAAAATGAACAAGTCAAAGAAAAAGGAAATGCTGCGCTCACACACTCTCAAAATCCACAAACTACTTCTCATCCATCAATCTAACTGCTCCAGTCAAAGCCGACGCAGAGCTTGCTCTTCTTGCAGACAGCCTTGGTGAGCGTCTGGATGCTGCCACTGGAGAGCAACTCCAGAACCTGCATGTTGGCCTCAAACTCGCGGGTGATGAAGTTACGGATCTCGATGGCGACGAGCGAGTCGAGCGGGTAGTGCGCCAAGCTGCGGGTAATGTCGAGCTCTTCCGTCTCCATCATGAGCACAGCGGCGATCTTCTCGACCAGGCCGCGGCAGACGACGTCCATGGCCTCAGTCTCGCTGCGGGACGCCTTGAGCGCGGCATTGAGCGAGACGGCGCCGGAGCCGGCCTCGAGGGCTGCAAGCTCCTCGGCGGCGAGGCGCATGCCCTTAAACTTGGCGTCGGGCGTCCAGAAGGGCTGGACGGCGGGCGTGATGCGCATGCCGGTGATGATGTGGTGGTTGGCGACGGAGGTCTTGCCGGAGATGGAAGCACCGAGGAGGGCGAGGACCTCGGCCTCGCAGATGGTGTCGGAGCCCAGGTTCTTCATGATCTCAGCAGCGCGCTCGGCGTCACCGTCGGCGACGTAGCCGGCGTCGGAGACGGCGGTGAGGTCGAGGGATACGGCCGGGAGACCATTGGCAAGGCGGTGCTGGACGAAGGCGTTGAGGAAGCAGTTGGCGGCGGCGTAGGCTGCTTGACCTCTGTTACCGACGGCACCGGCGGCGGAGGAGATGGCGACGAAGAAGTCCAAGGGGATGGAGCGGTCTTGCAGGGCGTGGTGGAAGTTCCAGGCACCCTGGACCTTGGACTCTGTTACTTGGGTGTAGTCGCTGTAGGTCATCTTCTCGAAAAGAACGTCCTGTGAAGTTGTTAGTGGTTGTGTGAATGCGGGAGTAGGTAAGGGACTTACGCGAAGGACCATGGCACCGTGGATGACACCGCGGACAGGAGGCAGGCCCTTGAGACCAGAGTTGAAAAGCTCCTCAACACTGGCGCGGTCGGCGACGTTGCAAGAGCGGACGGTGATGTGAGCACCCTCAGCAGCAGCCTCGTCGATGAGCTCCTTAACCTTACCGGTAGCAGAGCCGGAACGGGACAGGAGGACCAGGTTACGGGCACCGTGGGCGACCATCCATCTGGACATGGAGCGACCGAGACCACCGGTACCACCGATGAGGAGGTAGGTAGCATCGGCCTTCAGAAGATCCGTCATTCCCTTGGAGGGGGTGGCCATGACGACGTCAGAGGCGCTGGGGACAACGACCAGCTTGCCAGGACCCTGGGTGGTTTGCAGCGTCTTGAAGGCAGTCTCCATGGTGGAGACAGGGAAGACGGTGGCAGGGTCGATGGGGCGGAGCTCATCATCAGCAAGGAGCTTGGCAACATCCTTGACGAGTCTCTCCATGATCTTGGGCCTCTCGGCGGCAAGGCCGAAGATGTCGACACTCAAGAAAGAGGCGTTGCTGTCGGTCTGGCCCATGTCGAGGCGAGTGGCGCGAGAGCCATCCTTTCTCCTAACATCAACGAGATAACCGAAGCGGCTGAGACAGGCCCAGGATTCCCTGAGGGCATCGGCACCAGGGAGGGTGTTGAGGACGACATCGACACCCTCGTCGTTGGTGGCACGACGGACAGCGGCTCTCCAGGTGGTGTTGCGGCTGTAGAAGATGTGATCCTCGGGAACGTTGTAGTGCTGCATGAGGAGCTTCTTCTTGGCGGCGGAGCTGACGGTCACAAACACCTCAGCGCCAATCATCTTGGACAGGCAGACGGAAGCCTGGCCAATGCCACCTCCAGCAGAGTGGACGAGCACACGCTGCCCCTCGCGGAGACGAGCCTGCTCAACCAAGCTGTAGTAGGCAGTGCAGTAGGCCAAGGGCAGGGTGGCAGCATCAACGAAGGACATCTTGGGAGGGATGGGCAAGATGCTGGCGGCCGTGGTGCGGGTGCGGGTGGCATAGGCGCCGTGGGTAATGGTGAGGGCAGCAATGCGGTCACCGACCTTGTGAGACTTGACAGCGGAGCCAACACGAGTGATGATACCAGCGGCCTCAACACCGAGAGCGTGCTTGTCGGCATCGGGGATCTGGCCCTTGGCAAGCATGACATCGCGAACGTTCATGCCGACGGCCTTGACCTCGAACTCAACCTCCTCATCGCCGAGGGGCTGATTGACGAGGTTATCATCGACGAAATGGACGGTCTCAATGGCACCAGGAGTGGAGAACTCCATTCTGAGGTTGCGATCGTCCTTGCCGAAGGGCTGGAGCTCGACGATGCTGGGGTTCGTCTCGCGGTGGACAAACTCGTTCATCTCCTCATCGTGGATGATGCGGGGAGTGAAGAACTTGCCGGAGCGCTCCATGAACTCAAGCTCGCTGGTGGAGGAAGCGTTGGTGTTGAAGGCCAGCTTGAAGATCTCGTAGATGACAGCAGAGGCGTCATCCTCATCCAGCTCGTTATTGGCATCCAAGTCGAGGGTGGCGAAGGGAAGGACGGACTCGGAGCGGACGGTTCTGCTGAGACCGACAATCATGTTGGACTCAGGAGAAGTGGCCTTGTCGTAGGCACCGCGGACAACCCACAGGCAGCCCTGAACACCGGCAATCATGTTGCGGATATCAGCGAACTGCTCCTTGGTGGGGTTGGCAAGGAAGGGCTGCTCGATCTCGGTGAGAACAACGCAAAGCTTGCCCTCGGTGTTGACCTCGTGCAGAGCACCCATCTCGGGGAGTCTGGAGGTGGAGCTTGCCAAAGCGATGGCAAGACCGTTGGCCAACATCTGCTGGGAGTTGGACTCGCCGTGGATGATGGCAACGTCAACGTCGGGGAGAGGAGCATCGACCTTGACTCCGTTGGAGGCGTTCTTCTTGCCCTTGCCGGACAGGGACTTAAGATCGCCGATGTTCTCCCACTCGAGCTTGTAGCAGAGCTCGCGGGCAGGGTTGTTGCCGAGATCGGTCTGGCCATCAATGATGGGAGACACGGTGAGCTCGTCAATCTCAATGACAATGT